CAAAACTGATGACCTCAAACTCAACTAAGAGGAATTCTCAGTCTGTATTTCTATTCCAATCTTCTTGCATAGGAGAGCAAGGCAAGGGCTGAAAATCAGCTTGATGACAGTTTTTGAAAAGTAACTTTCAGGGGTGCCCGGGTGGCACAATCAGTTAAGTGTCCGACTCTTGACTTCAGCTCAGGTCAGGATCTCAGGGTCATGGAATCGAGCCCTGGGTCGAGCCCCATGTGGAGCCCCGTGTCGGGCTCTGCACTCAGCGGGGAGTCTGCTGGAGATTCTCTCTCTCTCTCTCTCTCTCTCTCTCTCTCTCCTTCTGCCCTTTCCCCTGCTCACGCACTCGTGCACACTCTCTCTCTCTCTCTGTCTCTCTCAAAGGAATAAATATGAGTTCAGATGAGGCCCAGCTTCCTACACTGTCACATCTGATGTTCAGACAACAGGAAATCGAGTTTTAAATAGCAGTCCCTAATGGCTAGCTTAGGGCCATGGCACTGGAACTGAAAGCCACACTCCTATTCATTCTCTCTCTCTCTTAGCAGGTCATCCTCCTGGGTCTCCCTTGGCCATTGCTGCTCCCCTGGAAGGTGACCCTAGTCTCCAGGATAGGCTGTGTGTTACTCCCAAGGGAAACACTTCCGCTCCAGCGAGCCCTTGATTCTGACCTCTTTTTCCTCTCACGGAGGGCCTGCCGAACCTCTCGACTGAACAGGATCTTCTCCTCCTCTGTCATGGCGTCGTATTCTTCTTCATCCATATTTTGGAGACGCTCCTTCTCTTTCTCAAGTGCCTCCCTGCGTTTGTACTCTGGAGGGAACAGAGACAGGAAGGTGAGGGAAGGTAACTCCTCAGCCTTGGCTGCGGGGTCCCCCGGTAGCTTAGCTCCCAGCCCACACAGGCTGCACAGGGTCCGCGCCAGGGGGAGGGGGCTCCAGCCGTGACGCCATTCCTGATCTCTGGCGGGCCGTCCTTCCCTCACACAGTTCCAAACCTGGTCTCCATCTGGAATAGCAGTTCCAAAGATGTCCTAATTCCCAGAAGGATGAATATGTGACCTGGCATGATGGAGAGGATTTTACAGATGTGGTTACGCTAAGGACCTTGAACTGGGTGGGGAGACATTCCTGGATTGTCTGAGTGGGCCCAGTATAACCATAAAGGTCCTTGTAAGAGGGAGGCAGGAGGGTCAGAGTCTGAGAAGGAGATGATGGAAGCAGAGGTCAGAAGGCTGTGAAGTAGGGACCACGAGCTGAGGAAGGCAGGTGGCCTCTAGAAGCTCGAGAAGGCAAGGGAAAGGATTCTCTCCCTGGAGCCTTCAAAGGAACAGAGCCCTTTGGACACCCCACTTTTAGGACTTCTGATTTCCAGAACTGTAAGACAGTAAATCTGTGTTGTTTGAAGTCATCAAGTTTGTGGTAATTTGCTACTGCAGCGATAGGGAAGTAATAGGCCACCCGCTGACTTTATGAGGAACATCTGCCACCAGAGTCCTTAGGGTGACAGAGCCATTTGCAGATGAAGGGGCGCCATCTCCCACACCCTTCAGACTCCAGATCCAGAAGTGAGGTTCGCACCCAGCACAAAGGCTCTCGGCCTCTTTTTCACGCTTCACCAGCACAACTTCCCACCTTCCCTTCTTGGAGGTTTGAACTTTGGACTCAGAGAGATGTATCTGGAGATCTTCCTCTGACACTTACCAAGGGAGAGAAATAGATAAGAATAATGATTCTTCCTTCCCAGGCTGTGGTGGGGATCAAATAAGTAATCCTGTAAAGCATCTAGGCTAGTGCCCAGCAAATTCATAAATGTTCAGTAAAAATTAGATTTTAATATAATAATATTGTTACTGGATGCTGCCTCAGGACTTTTTCAAACGCAGATGATTTTGGGGAGAGGAGCCAATAATGAGATTGTGAAAAACTTCAATCCGCAGGTAATTGAGAAAATGAAAAGAGATATTATCCTTTAAGTTGATGATTACGGAGAAATGAGCTTTCTGGAAAACCAGGAAGCTGGAGGTTGGAACACGGCTGGGGATGCCTGGTCATTCTTCCTAATTTTTCTCTGGGTGAGAATGTAAGGAAGCAGACTTGGAGCTCTGTTTAAGAACTAAGAGCTCATGTTTGTAACTATTTCCTTAAATGGAAAAGGATTATGATTTGTGTAGATTTTTCCAGAAGAGAGAGGTAAGGCCAAGTGAGGAAGGGCAGTAATGTGACCAGAGCTGAGGCCAGAGCAGGACTCTGCCTCCCAGGGATAGCACAGCCTCCCTTGGGGACCAAGATTTGCTACGTCTGCTTCTGACCAAAGCGGGAACTGAAGCTAACATTACTCTGTATGTGTGTATTTATTTTTCAGTCACTGAAATTTTTTTCAGGCCACTGTTGTAGTGACAGAAAATGCAAAGGTTTCAGGGTTGCCTAGACTTTACTAATTTGCTGTGTGATCTTTTTTTAAAAAAAGATTATTTATTTATTTGAGAGAGAGAGACAGCATGAGTTGGGGGGGGTGCGGAGAGCAGAGGGAGAGGAAGAGAGAGAATCTTAAGCAGACTCACGCTGAGCGCTGAGCCCGATTCGGGGCTTGATCCCATGACCCTGAAATCATGACCTGAGCCAAAACCAAGAGTTGGATGCTTAAAAGCCTGAGGCACCCAGGCACCCCTGTGCTGTGTGATCTTATACAAGACTTTTGATATCTCTGAGCTTCATTTTCCTTGTCTGTAAAAGGGGGGCAATGATCTTCAGAGTCACTGGGAGGATTAAATAACCCCAAGCGCCATTTAGAGACATTTCAAATGTACCGAACGTTCGCTGCGGTGGCTGGACACAGCAGCAGGCTAAAATGTAGAAACTGGTTTATAAAGTTTATCAGCACCTCCAGTTCGGCAGGAAATGCACAGTCGCCTTAAACAAAAGCAAGCAGCTAACGGGTCACCTGAGTCAGGATGGGACCCATGATGCGTTCCCCTCGGGTTGGCTGTGATTACAGAGAAGACGAAAGGACGCAGGGTGATATCGGGGGGAAAGGGGAATGTGGCTCTTACGAGAAGAGCCAGCTGGGTTCATCCCTCATCCTGTCATCTCTCAACAGGTCACCTGCATCTGCCAGCCACCTTATAGGGCGGAAGTGAGCCCTGACGACATGTCAGATGGAATAGTGTCCTCTGCCCAACGGGTCATCCTGGCGGGGAGCCATTTCACACAGCCCACGGCTCTGCCAAAGGGATGGCCCAGGAGGGCATGGGGCCTTACCTTCTTGCTCCTTCTTGGCTTTCTCCTGGGCCTTCATGGCTGTGTAATCCTGGGCCATGTTGACGACGTAGATGTGGTCCCGGTTGCCGATGGCCTTCAGCAGGCAGAGGAGAGCCACGGCTATGTTCCGAGCGAAGAGTGTCTCGAGGCTGTCAAACACCACTCCCCGGAAGCAGTCACTCAGCTGAAACCGCAGTGAGCAAAGATGGTTACCAGGGCCTCCATTACCCAGTTCTCTACAGAGAACGCTGCTCCTTCTTCTGTTGGCGCTTTCCCTGGGGCTGCAACTGGTACTGCAGACCTGCTGGGCCCCAGTGAAAATACCGTGAAACCACCCTTCCACCTGCTACGTTCAACGTGCTGTTAGAAAATACAAGAGAAACACCCAAATAGTTTATCAGTCGTGATAGATCTTTATCACATGTATTTGCAGAGTGATAAGACTGATTCTGTTGCTATGGAAATAAGGGAAGCAAACAGAATGTGAAAGTGAGGGTCTGGGAGGGTCTGAGGTGCAGGGATGGAAGATGGACCTGCGGGATATTCCCCTGCCCCAGATAACAGACAGCAAGGGCAGCAGGAGCACGTGGGCCATTCGTATCTTTCTCAGTGTTATTAATGCCTTGGTGGGTAATGATCTCGATCACATTAATCATTGAAGGGCACCGTCTGCTGTACCGCAGTGTTACTCAAAGGGTAGTACACAGACGGGCCACCCCCGGCCAGGGGCTGATCACTATCAGGTTGTTTTTTTTTTTTTTTTAAGATTTTATTTATTTGAGAGAGAGCGAGTGAGAGCCAGCAAGCATGGGAGCGGCAGGCAGAGGGGGAGGGAGAAGCAGGCCTCCCGCTGAGCAAGGAGCCCGACGTGGGGCTTGATCCCAGGACCCCGGGATCATGACCTGAGCCGAAGGCAGATGCTTAACCGCCCCATCAGTACCAGTTTTTGATGAGACAAGAATCTTGTGTCAGAATGTTAATCAACTACATCACCAAAAACACCATTTACTTCAGCTGCTGTTTTTTTGTTTGTTTTTTGTTTTCTTTGTAGCAAGACTATGGATGAGGGAAGCAGTGCGAGCTCCATGTTTCATCCAGTATCAGTGCTTTGAGTGGTTCAGCTCTACAGGCCCACTTTGGGCTGGCCAGTGATGTAACCCTGGTCCATGGCATACCTGCACACTTGACTGGCCCGCCTTGCTCAAATCCGCTGAGAGGCCCAGCACCCTGAACACAGTAGCAATTAAACCTGAACATGAGCCATTTCCTGTGATGACGTTCCTCTTCTCTTGGGAAGCTCAGGCCCCGTTTTGTTATATTTAAATGCGCAACTAATATTGTGGACTAGTTTGAAGAAAAACAAGGCAAATGGACAACTCCAGGACATGGTGAGCAATTTAGCTCTCTGTAAACCATAAGCAGCAAAGAGGCTTAAGTGGTACCCTCCCTATTCCAGATGATCTTCTTTTCTTTTTTTTAACTGTATGACACGTACGAAAAATTAAAAAAAAGGGAAACAGTTACTGTGTTTCTTGACTTTAAAAGCAATCTGCCATTGTGAAATAATTCAGAAATGTATGGAGAGAACTAAGAATCCATTATCCTGCTAACCAAAGATAACCAGGTACATGTGCCTTAGGAGTTTTTACTATTTTGTATGATATACATTTAGAAATACTTTTATAGAAATGTACTTGTGCTTTACATATTATTTCATAATCTGCGTTTCTCATTTAATAATACATTGAAGACACCCCTGAAACAAATAATACATTATATGTTGATAATAATAAAAAATAATTATATATTGAAGACAAATTTTTACAGCAATTAATATAGTTCTAAATTCTAACTTTCAATGGCTCCCTGTTATGATTTTTAATACACTACTGTAGGGCTGTATCATGACTGATTTTTTTTTTTTTTTAATATGTAACCTGCTCACTGGTCTTTTAAGGTGCATGGCTTCAGGCTGCAGACTGCGCCAGGGCCAGGGACTGACCAGGGCTGTCAAAAGGACAAGCAAATGACTGTTGGAGATGAAGAAACTCATCTTTCCTCTCTAGGGCCTCTGAGTTCTGAGCTACCGTGGGTGCGCTATGGATCGGAAATTCAGCTCCCAGCGCAGGGATGGAGTGTGAGCCCTGCAGCTCTGCGCGGGTGGGCATAGACGCACCTGGATGCGCTCAGCCAGGATCTGGGTGAGTAGGTCCTCAGGGAGCACACAGCTCATGAGCCCGGTCTCACCTCCGATACTGGGGCTGACGCTGAGCTGGCGCTGCGTGGGCCCCGTAAGGAGGGGGCTGGAGGAAACCTGTCAAGCCGGAAGAGGATCAGCAGTTAGAATCCAGCATGGTGTCCCAGCAGCTCTCACACTTACAAGCCATTCGACCCCGCGGAAATCCTGAAATCTCTCTGGGCCTCATTTCTTATCTGTAAGATGCGGATTGCATCGTAAAATGGAAAATTCCTATCTTCCTTAAAGAGTGGCTGTGAGCTTCAAGCCGGGACACTGTGGAAGGAAGGTGCTTTGTATATGGACTGAACAGCATGAATGTGTTCATTCAAGAAATACTAATTGAGCACCTACTGTGCACAAGGGACCCCTCTAGCAGTAGGGATACAACAAACAGGCTGGCAATGTTGCTGCCCATGTGGTCCTTATTGCAAACAGGGCAGACAGAAAAGGGCCATGTGAATATACAAATCAACAGTCTCAGACAGTGACAAGTGCCAGGGAGAACAGACAGCAGTAACAGAACTGGACAATAACACGAGTGCACTTGCCGGGGTCTGGGGAGTACATGGGAGTCTGGCATAATGGACTGAGTGCGCGATGAGGGAGATGGCCGGCCTTCATCAAAGTCTAAGGCATAATCAGGTGTGAATATGCAGGGCTTGCAGAGCACAGGGAGGAATTTGGATTTTATCCCAAGTGTTATGGGAAGTTGTTGGCATGTTTCAGGCAGACACGTGATCTGAGTTTTATTTTTGAAAGACTACGGTGCCTGCTGCTTGGGGTGACAAGAGTGCAGGCAGGAAGACTAGTTAGTTAGTTAGTGACATGATGGCGGCAGTTTGAGGATGGTCATGGTGGAGGCGGGGAGAAGTGGCTGATACTTCCTTTCACATCCCATCCCAGGAGGACTTGGGAGGGGATGTGAAAGAAAGAGGGGCACCAAGAATGACTCCTTGAGTTTTGTTTTGGCCTGATCAAGTTGGAAAATGGTGAAGTCATTTGTTAAGAAAGGAAAAACTGAGGGAAGAGCAATTTTTTTTTTTTTTTTTTTTTGTCTTGTTCTGTTCTGGGAGTGGGCCAGAATCAGTTTTCAGACACGTAAATTTTGAGAGGTCTCTAAGCCATTCAACAGAGACACTGAATGTGAGTTTGGATGTATGCACCTGAGCTGGGGAAGAAATTAGGGTTGGAGATAGAAATTGGAGGGTCACATGCGTACTGAAAATATTTAAGTACTTAATCCATGAGCTGGATGAGATCACCTATGGAGAAAAGGTAGATAACAAAAAGAAAAGGGTAGCTGACTCAGTTCTAGTCTAGTCTAAAATCCTAAGGATCTGGAGGAGGTGGAGAAGCTGGAGGAGAGGAGGGAGTCCTTCATGGGGCAGAGGGAAAGTAGAACAGTGAGGTGTTCTGATGGCCAGGAAGCCCTTCTAGAAGGAGGAGTTATCAGCTGTTATGAGGTCACAGGAAATGAGGACAGAACACCAGCCCCGGGATCTGGCAAGATGAATGCCAGTGACCTTGAGAGGAGTGGTCCTTGGGAGTGGTAAGGACAACGGCCTCCCTAGAATAGGTCAAAGAGAGAAGGGTGGTGAGGATGAGGAGGGAGGCAATTCTTTGGAGGAACAGCTGTGAAGAGGGGTTGACTGGAGGAGGCAATAGCTGGAGGGGGATCTGGGTCTCGGGGCAGTAGTTTTAAAGATGGGAGGCAATATAGGATGCACAAATGCTGATGGGAAGGAGCCAATAGATGGGGCAAAAAGCAAACAGGAGAGAGGGGAGGACTGTAGGAATTGAGCTCTTGAGTGAGAAGTGGTGGGGGGAGGTCCAGTGCACGGGGGCAGGGCCTTAGCCGAGAGCCGGGGCGGTGACTCCGGCAGGGAAGGCACAGCGCTGGGCTAGGGTGCAGCCCGGCTCCTAGATCTGGTGGTGGGAGAATCAGGTGGTCGTCTTCCAGTGTTGCTGCTCCCTCCATGCAGTCAGAAGAGAGATCATTAGCTGGGAATGGGGAACAGGAAAGGGCCTTAGACGTTTGGAGAGTGATGACCTCCATAAAATAGTTATCTTAAAGAGAAGGAGGGCGAATTTACTAGGGCAGACCAAAGGGTCTCTTTGAGATTTGTGGTCTTAAATTTAGACGAAGACCATTCAGAAGAGAGGAGGGTTGTCTCTAGCTGTGTTCAGCCACCGTGCATGGAGGAGGCGGAGAGTCGGGTTTACCAGGGCTGAAGTTTTGCTTGGAGAGTATGAAGAAGGGGAAGGGGCAAGGGAGCATCTACAGTGACAGACACGGATTGCAAACAGGGGAAGAAAAGAAGTGAAGGGGTGATAGGCAGTGAAGCTGTGGACTGGAGGTTTGCATGGGACCAATTATTTCCCGGACTCAGTCATCTGGAAAGTTAGAAGATGGTGGTCAGGAAGTAGGATGTGTAATGCAGAGGTCCTGGAGTTTATGGAATGATGAACAAGTTCTAGAACATGACCATGGCAGTGAGTACCTGAGGAGGCCGGGGAATTGAGAAGTGTGAGTGTTGGATTAAACGTCATTCAAAAGACCAGGATTTCCAGTGGGTGTTCTCCTAGAACATGGTGATTTATAAATAAATGACCTTATATTACAGGTCATATCTTCACTATATGATATTACACATTTCTTCCCACTTGCAACATGACAAAACTTTTAGTCATTGGAGAGTTCAGGCTTTAGGAGAGCTTTAGAAAACCAAACAGCCAATTCTGGGTGAAGCATGCTGACAGGGTGACTGTTGTCCAAAGCATGAGTCCTGTCACACTGTGGCAGCTGCATGGGGGGATGGGGTGATCATGAATAGGTTTTAAGTTCCCTATTTATTGAAAGGGGATTTGGGTCAGAATTGGGATTTTCTGCTGCCTTTGATATACTCTCAAAAGCCTTACTTCACTGTCCAGATGGATGGAACCCAATCGAAGAAAATGATTCCCCGTGACACCCTGTTTAATACAAATATGAGTTCTAGATCATCCATAAACATCTATGTAAAGAATGCCATATTAGATCTTGAGAAAGAGGGTTAAATGATGCTGCAAAAGGAAGTAAGTCAATGGTTTCAATTCTCATGGTATGAGAAGAAGGCAGGACTGAAGTGAACATCAGAGACATCATCTGGCACAAATTCAGCCCCACGGGAGGTCCCATCCTATCTGCATACCTTCTCTCTCGAGAAGACCTTGGCTTCCACTCTGCCCACCTGGCCCTTCCAACATGTGGACCTCCTCTCCCACAAGGGCCTTCACCTCCTCTCCCTCTACCTCAGCAACCTCCTCCGAGATGCCCACCTCTCCCACTCCCCGCACTGCGCTCTTGGACAGTAACAAGACCCACAGATTCTTCCTCTCTTCCTGTTTCTCGCACTCTGCTGCCCTCCTCTTTGTTCCTTCTCCGTAGGCTGGACTTCCCATACACTGATGATGCCACTCTCTCCTCCCTTGCCCCTTGTTCTGAGCACACTCCTGCCCCTGCAGTGAAGACTTCTCTCTCCCTCCGAATGAAGGCTGCCACTTGCCGCTTAGGGAAATCTTACAACTGTGAAGTTATGGCTTCCCATCTCAGTTGGGACATCCGCATTCCCAACTATCTTTTCTTTTGTCCACCACCCAGTTCTGGTTTTATTCCTCCCAGGGGACACATCAGTGCTTTGCCACTCTCCTCAAGTATGCTGTGCAATGCCAACCTCCTCAATGCCTCTTACAAAGACTTGGTGTCCTGCACACGTCCTAGAGCTGCTCGACAAGACCTTCTCCAAGCTCCACCCTCCACCTTGCCTCCCGCACAGGCAGCTGGATCGGTTTTCACCTTTACTGACTCTGGAAGCAGCTGGCCCCTGTCTCCTTTGACTGCGCTCTGTCCTGCACTCCTTGTCTTCTCCAGGAATCTCATTCCTTCTTGGGAGGATTGTCACCTCACCCTCCTCCAGGAGCACCTTTCCTTGGAGACTGCTTTGCCTCCATCGCCTTTCAGAGAAAGAACTCTCCTGACCCTAGGTCTGCTCCTCTAACAACTTCTGTCATTTTTCCTTTTCTTTTAAACATCTCGGAAGCCTATGCTCACTTGACTCCACTTTCCCACCAACAACTCATCACCCGCTGTCTCTCACAGGGCCATCCGCTGTCTCCCGCTACAGCACCCTGCTATTCTGCCAGGATGGTTTCTCAAAGTCCCTTGGCAAAGGCTCAAACTCTCTGCCTCCTTTATGACTTTCCAAGACTCCGGTGAAGCACCCCCTACCCACCGCAATTTATACGATTCATCCTTAGCATTCCTTGAGTATTAGGCTGCGCCCTATGAAATGGCTGTTGTTGGCCCCTTCATATGGTTCAACCCAATTCTTTTTACAAACGTCCTTTGCCACCAATCCCACCGTATTGCAAATATTTGAATGTGTGGTTATCTCCTTCAGCAGACTCTTGGTGCAGCTTGAGCACGGGGATTTTTGCTTCATTTATCTCCACTTTGTTAGCACTCAAGCCAGTGCCTCACATTAAAGCTATTGCTGAACACCTGCTGGATGAACACACTCCTTCCAGAACTGGCACCATGAGCCTGGAGAGGGCACCCTCAGTGATGAAGTCGTGCTGCCACGGCTGCAGGATGCTGAGGAGGAAAGGCAGGGGGAAGGACCCCAACCCTCCTTCTGGGGGGCCCTGATTTGTACCTGCGGTGTTTCAGACGCATGCTGGTGATGCTGCTTCTGAGACCCGGAGCCGTGGCTCTCCGTCTTGCTTTTGGCGATCATCATGCTCCCGCGCATAGTCTTTGTAGGTTTAAATTCAGGCGTTACCAGGGTGGATTCTGAGGTCAACTTGCCCAGGGTCTCACTGCTCAGACGAATTTGTCCCACAGCAGTTTGGCCCGAAGCAGCCTCCTGGGCTACAGAGAGAGAGTGGATTTATATTAAAAGTCACCTGAGGATACTAAGGAAATGACAGTGGGGACGGCACAGACACCTAGTATGACGGGTGTGATTCTCTCGAGGAACAGAAAACCATCTCCATCTGCAGCCGTCTGGGAACGGAGTCCGGGTTTCTCCGCTGCCCATCTTCCCAGTGGATCCCATGTTAGTTGGCCCCACGTTCTCTTCCAGCCCCGAGAGCAAGCACTTCTGAAACTGCTGGTACACTAGGGCCCTGCCCTGGGACCCCAACACTAAGACGGGGTGATGTGGCTGTGTGCTAGGCAGCTTCCCTATTTCTCCAGCACACGGGCGGACTCGGTAAGGCTCATTATTCCTTGTTGACCATTTCGGCAAATAGGCCCTCAGAACTCCCTCGAGAGTTGTCACTAGGCTTACTCTGCCTTATCTTTTCATGCGTCTTCCCTCCATCCCTTCCCCAGGAGCTGATTAGAGGTATAAGGACTCCATGCTGCACCTGGAGGTGGCAGTGTGTGTGTGGGGGGGTAGCATGGGGGGTGGAGAGCCTGAAGCTACCAGTGGAGCAGTGGCACAGTGTTCGGCTGGCTGGTCCTGCGTTCATCCGGGCCCCGTCACCCCCAGCCCCTCCAGGCTCTGCCCTCGTGAAAGTAAGGACCGCTCCAGCCTCCTGTCACGCGCCACCCGCTCGCTTTGCCCTGAGTCCTGCGCCCTGGCCCCCCGGCCACGTCGTCTTCACTGATGGCTGTGCAGTCTCCTCTGTGCTATTCTAACGCCTCTCGGCTTTCCCTGTCCACGCCATCATTCCGCCCTCTCTTAAAAAGCCGGCTCTTCCCGATATAATATATAACAATACATAATATATAAGAGTTTTCATTTTGCCTTTCCATTTCTTTCAAGACATCATCACTTCACCTCTTCTCTTTCCCTCGCTGCCCGACTTCTAAAACAGTAGTGTGGACCACATCTGCCCAACTGACATGTGATATGTACGGAATTTAAGATTTCTCAGCAGCCACATTAAAAAAGTACACACGGATTTTAATAGTATATTTTCTTTAACCCTATATATCCAAAATGTGATTGTTTCAACATGTAAACAACACATAAAAATTGTTACTGTTATTTTATAGCCTTTTACTCATACTATATCCTCAAAAGAAAAAAAAAAAACCACCTCGAGCAGCACATTTCAATTTGGACCGGCCACCACATTTCAAGTGGCCAGTGGGTGCGGTGTGGGACGGGCAGGATCGTCCACAGTGAGCAGCAAGTACAGTTTGGGGTTGACCCCTCCTTTGAAAGGGCTTTCTCCAAAGTGCCCAGTGACCTCTGAACTGGGAGCCACAGTGGCCCTCTCTCAGGGCTCATTCTGTCTGTATTTTGAGCAATCTCTGACTACATTCACTTACTAATTTGATATATCTTGGGAAGCCTTTACTCTGCGTCCACTCTGTGCCAGGCACCATTCTAGGGGCTGGGAACACCTCAGTGATGAGAACTAACACACATCCGTGCTTCCAGCTGACATGCTAGTGGGGTCGGCAGACAGTAGAATAAGAAAGTCAAGTAAATGGTATATGAACCAGTGATAAGGCTTATGAGACAAACAAGGCAGGAAGCGTCCCCCAGGCCCCACCAGGGCTCTGGAGAGGTGTGAAAGCCCTTCTGGCTCTACTGCCTCCATACCTCAGTCTCCTTGACTTCCTGCGGCCTGCTCTCCTGACTGCCCACCCCTCTGACCCTCCTCGCTCGGCCTTCTTGGACTTCCTGGCTTCTCCTCCACCCCCCTCCTAAAATGTAAGTGTTCCCCAATGTCCCATTCTGCCCTTTCCATCCCGCCCCTCTTTCTGGAACGATTTCCTCTCTCCCAGCAGTTGCACCTCTCACTATGTTGAGGAAGACTCCCTCAGTTATGTGTTTAGCTGGACATTACCTTCTCAGATGGGAAACCCAAATCCGCAGTTTGTTATGGGACACCAACAGAGGTCCAAAGACCTCTGTGAAATGTAGATTAATTGAGAGAAAAGGAAAGAAAAATCTAAGAGAACCAAAATTATGATGTAGTTTGGAGTTCCCGCTAAAGGTAGACTAGGCCACCCCCAAAATACGACTATAGGAGCTCTGGATATGCCACCTCAAAATACACTGCTCTCTTTTGAGCTGTGGCCAAATGCCGGAAGAAGCCTTCTCTGAACTTTCCTTGTCTGCCTAAAGAGAGGCATCCAAAGGGAACTCAACTGTCACAAATCCTCACCCTGGGAGTTACATCAACCAGGGAGGACCGACTCCTCACAGGAGAGGAGACTAGAGGGCAGCACCCCCCGACACACTTGTTACAAACTATCTACCCTCATTTATTCTTCTGTGGGTCCATTCATCCTCCCTAAAACTCATCTGCTCTCCCCTAAGAGGACTACCTCCCTCCTCTTCTCTGTGAAGATGGAATTTAATTCAAAATTGTAAGCCACCTCATTTCCTCCTTAGTATCTCCCGTGTACGCATGAAAGATACATGTTAATAAATTTGCTTTTTTCTTGTGACTCTTTTATTATAGAGTCTTAGCCAAGAACTCAGAAGGACAGAGAGAAAATTATTTTTCCTCCCTTATACTACTAAGGCTATTTCTCTTATCTGCCCAGCAAAGAATCCTCTCTCTCTCTAAGCATCCCATGCAGAGGTACTGAGGAAAGAGGACACGCCTCAAAGCTCCAGCCACTTTTACCAATCAACTAGCAGACATGGTGCACTATCAGAGATGAAGTTATGTGGGTGCCTGGGTGGCTCAGTAGGTTAAGCGTCCGACTTTCGATTTCGGCTCAGGTCATGATCTCGGGGTCATGGGATCAAGCCCTGCATCAGGCTCCGTGCTGGGTGTGGAGCCTACTTGTGATTCTCTGTCTTCTCCCCCTCTGCCCTTCCCCCTGCTCTCTTTCTCTCAAAGAAAAAAAAAAAAAAGAAGAGAAAAGAAAAGAAAGAAAGAAATGATGGTATGCTGTTATGAATATTTATACAAAAATTGTTCTGCTCAGAGCAGTCACTCTACTTCAGTATATTTTCCCACTGAGCAGCCATTGCCCTGCCTTCTAGGGTCCTTCTAGGAGACAGGACTCCCAACCTCGGGTAGGTAGGCCACACCAGGCCTTACTACACGGAGGTTCCAAAACTCAATTAATTCTCCTCTCCAGCAAACTTTCTCCTCCTCCCACATTTCCTATTTTGGTAAACAACAGCACTCTCCTCCTGGCTCCAGGACTAGGAATCTTGATGGGACCGTCTGGAACGCTTCCCCCTCCTTGGGGCAGCTGGCCCAAGCCTGCTCATCCTCAGCATCTCCACTGTTCCCTTTACAAGACGTTACAACACCTGCTGCTTTTCCACTGTGACTCTCTGACCATTTCTCCCTGAGGGTGAAAACCACCCTACTCCTCTGTTCCTTCAAAATAAAACCCAAATTCCTAATCCAGACATCAAGGTCAACGATGACGGGCCTCAGCCTGCCTTTTCACTTCTAATTTACTGTTGACTTCCTTGCTTTCTTGGGCTGCACTGTCATTGGTCTTCCTCTTTGCCTGTCAACATTCTCCCGCTCCTTCAAAGCTCATTTCCACGAAAACTTCCCGAGATCACGCCTATGGGAACCCAGCCATCCCAAAGTTGCCCTCCTGTTACATTATTTCCCTCCGCTCCAAACAAACCCCTGTCTGCTCCCCCTTCACGGGTCACCCTCAAAGGTGTAGGCTGCATCTTATTCACCGTCGTGTTCCCTGTAGTGCCCGGTGCATGCCTGTACGGGGCAGCAGGGAGAGCTGTAGGTGCTTGGTGGAGAGAATTCTTCCTCTGGCTTTAAGTTGGCAGCATGTTGTAAGTCAGCCTTCAACTGGGCGTGGGGAGAAAAGCTCAGTGGGGGACACAAGGAAGATGGGTATTAGCAGCAGGGGTGCCGGGCACTTGACCACAGAAAGTCAGGGGAAATAGCTCTTACCAGACTCTTCTCCTTCCTTTATGGACTGCTCTATGGCAGCCCTGATGCAGAGCTCCCGGGCCCGGATCCCCGGGATGTTGTTGCCATCGGAGATGGCTTCCAGCACGATGGAGTCAATGTTCAAGCAGGCTGCATTGTAGTATTTGGCCATGCTGACTGCAGTGGCCGTCTTTCCTGCAAAAAAGGGTCAGGAGGTTGAACTTCCCGGCTTTCAGCGGCTGAGTGTTCTAGACAGAAGAAACTTCTAGAATGGAGACCCCTATAAAGCGATCTCTCCAAGTGCTTTGCCTTTAAGTCTCTAATGCAGCCAGAGGTGGGAGCGGAAAACAGAGGGAAGACCTGAACCACACGGATTCTGGTTCTCATTCCACCACCAGCACTCTGTGTGTGGTGTGAGGGCAAAACACATCCTCTCTGAATTTTCTCCTCAGTTAAAAGGTGATTCTGTCAGATGATCTTTAAAAATTTTGTAGCTCTAGGGGCATCTGGGTGGCTCAGTGGGTCAAGCGTCTGCCTTTAGCTCAGGTCATGATCCCAGGGTCCTGGGATTGAGCCCCTTGTCGTCGGGCTCCCGGCTCAGCGGGGAGTCTGCTTCTCCCTCTCCCTCTGACCCTCCCCCTGCTCTTGGGTGCTCTCTCTTTCTGTCTGTCTCTCTCTCAAATAAATAAATAAAATCTTAAAAAAATTTTTTTTATAGTTCTACTATCTCTGATTCTAATGGGAAGACGTTTTTGGTTTGAAGAATAAGTTGTGTTGATCTTTTTTTTTTTCTCATTTCAAAATATCTGCTCATTAAAAAGAAAGCAGAAAATACAAATAACAAACAGGAGAAAGGAAAAAAAAAGATCCATAATTTGCTCATCCAGAGATATTACAGTTAGCATATGGCTGCTAAGTATGCATATATAACTAATTTATTTACGTTTCTTAGGAAAAAGAAACAGGTTCTGTGGTAGGCTGAACAAGGACCACCCTCCGCCAAAGACATCCACATCCAAATGCCTGCAACATGTGAATATGTTACCTTATGTGGTAAAGTGGCTTTGCAGTTGCAATTAAGTTAAGGATCCTGATTAGGGAAATTATCCTTGGTTATCTGGGTGGGCCCAATATAATCCCAAGGGCCCTTACAGGAGGCAAGCAGGAGGGTCAGTCAGAACAGGTGATGTGATGATGAAGCAAAGGAAGAGAGAATGGAGGATGCTATGATGCTGGGTTTTTTTTTTTTAATATTTATTTATTTATTTATTTATTTGAGAGAGAGAGAGAGAGAGAGAGAGAGAGAAAACACGTGAGCAGGGGGAGGGGTGGAGGGAAAGGGAGAGAATCTCAAGCAGACACCTTGCTGAGTGTGGAGCCCAACGTGAGGATTGATCTCATGACCCTGGGATCTTGACCTGAGCCAAAATTGAGAGTCAGATGCTTAACCAACTGAGCCAACCAGGCACTCCTGTGATGCTGTTTTTGAAGACAGAGGAAGGGGCCCCGAGCCAAAGAATGAAGGCGATATTTCTAGAAGCTACAAAACACAAGGAAATGGATCTTCTATGTGCCTCCAGAAGGAATGCGGCCCTGACACATTTTAGATTTCTGATCTTCAGAAAGAAAGTCAGTTTGCATTGTTTCAACCTACTAAGTATGTGGCTATCTGTTACAGTAGCAATAGGAAATTAAATCAGATTGCAAATCCTAAGTATGACATTTTTTCTCACTTAAAATGATGTATCATGAACATCTTTCTATTCATTCGATATACTTCTACGGCACTTTGAAAAAACTGAGGTGATATACATACAGAATTTGCTGTTTTAACCATATTTAAGTGTACAGTTGTATTAGTATATTCACATTGTGGTGGGACCATCACCACCATTGAGCTCCAGCACTTTCTCATCTTCCTGCATGGAAACTCTGTACCCGTTACACAATAAGCCCCCATCCTTCCCTTTCCCCAGTCCCTGGAGACCACCACTCTACTTTCTGTTTCTATGAGTCTGACTCCTCTAAGTACTTCATATAAGTGGAGTCATACAGCAATTGTCCTTTGGTGATAACCTCACTTAGCATCATGTCTTAGTGTTCATCCATGTTGTAGCAAGTGTCAGGATTTCCCTCCTTTTTGAGGCTGAATAATAGCCCATCAGACCACATTTTGTTTTTCCATTCATCTGTCAATGGACGGTTGGGCTGTTTCCAGCTTTTGGCTATTGTGAGTAATGCTGCTAGGAACATGGTTGCATGAAACACTGTTTTTAGTGGCGAAATAACTTACTCTATGAATGTACTAAGGCTTAATTAACCAGTCTTCCATACTGAATGCTTCAATTGCTCCCAATTTTTTATTATGGTAAGCAATGCTGCAGTGGACATTCATGCAGTTAATCTCTGTCTACGTTGTTAAATATTTTCCTAAGATAAATCTCTAGAAGTAATATTGCCAGTTCAAACGGTTTGCACATATTTCCCCCCTCTTTTTAAATTATTTAATGTCTTGGATTTTTCTTTAATATTTTAATGTTTTTAAATTATTGAAAGAATATAAGCTCAAACAATTCAGAGATGTATTAATTAAAAATAAGGGGTCCCTGCTCTTTTTCTAACCCTGTGCCTCTGACCTTGGCGACTGAACAGTTTGGGGATAGTCCTGTGGTATATAAATTTCTAACAAAAGAGTCTTTTATTGTCTCAAAAATTACACGTGCAAACTTCACCATAAACCCCAAAGGGGCAACCCTTCAAGGTTGTGCATACCGGACAAGGGCGTCCCATGGACGATGATGGCGATGCCTTTCCTGTTCTTGGCCATGCGGCCTTCTGCAGAAATATCAATGCCCAGGTGGCGAGCGATCGCCTTGCTTACTGGGTTGTTCTCTACTTCTCCAACTTCTTCTGTGGAGTGGCTGTCAATGCTCTGTAACTTGTCAGCTGCAAATTAAAAATATATGTGTGCACGTGAGTGCATGTGGACACGCCCGGAATTCACATGGTCCGAGGGAAAAGGGAACAATTTTTCCTTTTCTTGACGTTGTTTTACAATGACAAATCATCTGTGGCAAATGTTCTCCTTCCCTCATTCGGCATATAGGAGGGCCTTATTTGGCTAATAATTTGTCCACAGCTACTAGCATTGAAAATATAGATACTCTCTGTTAACTCTTATTTTGGGGGAATCAGCCCTGCTGAAAAAATACTACTAGACACTAGCTGAATTTGCAACATGACAGGAGATGGCTGAATAAGCGATGGCGTATTCATACCGCAGAATTAATACCCAGTAGGGCTAGAAGGCTTGAGGGTGCGTTTCAGGGAGAAAAGTGAAAAGGCGCTGGACAGTCTTCCCACCTCTGCGTGGAGAGAACCGGTACCAAAACATTAAAATGCTTGTTTACTTTGAAACATTATTTTTTCCAGGCTCTCCTTATCTTCCTCTTCATCTGGGTAGATCTTGGACTCCATCATAGGGAGGTGCCGCTCTTCCAGGTTGGATGTGACCGAGATCCCTCGGCTCAGTGAGGTCCTCTTCGTACTGGCCGAGGTTCCCAGATCTGATGAGGGCCCATCTTCCTCTTCTGCCAGAGAGCCAAGGACCAAAACACACATGGGGAAGAGTTGGGAGGGGGACAAGGGAAGATGGGGACAGAAAACGAAAGAGAGACAAGGTAGAGAATCACTGACCTGCTCACCATCACCCTGGACTAGCCAACCCCAAGAAATAAGAACAGCAGTTGGCTATTAAGAAGTTTCTCCGCCCAGAGTGTTTCTACATTTTAACATTAAAAAAAAAAAAAAAACAACAACACTAAAATTATACAGTTGCTCCAGGAAATTCAGAAAATTCAGAAGAGCAAGAATTATAAAATTCATCTGCAAAAGAGACAGAAAGACAAAGAGATGGTGACGGGGAAATTGCAGCTGCATTTCATGATTCCAGTAAGGAGAGCTCCAACTTCTCAGATTGTTCCTTTCTCATTTTTCAAAGCTGAACTCTGGATCATAGTGTATATTCCAATTGGTAGCCTGTTTCACCCCTTAACTTGTCATGAACATTTGTCCATGGCCTTGCTAAGCACATCTACCGTTTTGTCTGCCCAGCACCCTCCCCACGGCTATTATCCTAAAATTCCAAAGGGGGCATTGGGCTGTGATTGCATGAAACGACCCCCTTTACCCTGGGGGGCCAAGACACTGATCCTGGGAGGCGTGGGGCATTGACATTTGAGGCGGAGAGGTTGGAGCTCTCCTGTGACTGACTGGCCTCACTGGCCATAGTGTGGGAAACAGGGGGACAGTGTGCACATGAGAGCAGAGGGAGCAGAGGCTGGGAGAATCCCTGGGGAAAAGGAGAGTATGCACCTCCCTGGCCCCCTCTGGACCCCTGGGTGCCCATTTTCCGCCACCTTTCAATGGGCCAAACGAAACAATGAACCTATAACTGTACGGTTGTAAGGTTGGGGATTAAAGCGACAGTGCCCTTCTCTGAGGTCATGATGCCCTTTGTACCTGGCAGCCCCTGCAGCCGTCTGCCCCAGGCCACCAGGGAGCAAGTGTGAGTTTCAGTGTGTGTCCTCCCACCCCCTTCCTGACCCCGAGGCTCTCAAAGACAAAGCCTTGTTTCATTGATCTGTTTACCACACTTCAGCTCCGTTCTTGGAACATACATAGTGGGTGTTTGTTATAGGGCTTGATTGATTCCCCTAAAATTCGTAGGTTGAAATCCTAACTCCCTAGTACCTCAGAATGTGACTACATTTGAACACAAAGCCTTTAAAGAGGCAATAGAGTTAAAATGAGGTCATTTGGGTGTCCTGCTCCATCCACACTCCAGTATGACTGGTGCTCTTTGAGAAGAGATTTGGACAGACACCCAGAGGGAAGACCACGTCAATACTGGGGGAAGATGGCCATCTACAAGCCAAGGAAGGACGTTCAGAAGAAAACAACCCTGCTGAAACCTTGATCTTAGACATTGGGCCTCCTGAACTGCGAGAAAATAAACTTCTGTTGGTTAAGTCACCCAGTCTGTGGTCTTTGTGATGGTAGTTCTAGCATCTGAGCACTAATGGTGCTCAATGATGCTGACCGGGAGAATGCGGAGAGAGGTGGTCTTTTTCTCTCATCCTCTCCTTTTAGGACAAACTAGTATTCTCTGACTAGCTTCCCTGAGAGGCAAGACAAGCCCAAGGGTGGGAGGAAATGAACTCCTTGCAGTTTATTCATTCAGTCTCACAGCACGTATTTATTGGGTACTATGATGGGGAATGTGTGATCGCTGCCTTTATGGGGACTTCTCATTTTGGGGGCAGACAGGTATGAAGAAAACAATTACACACGTGATGACTGTTACACAGAAAAAGAGAGCAAGTAACAACAGGGAGGGCACATTTCCAGGATGAGGGCACGGTAAGCGGGAAGGAGAAGCATGCATCATGCTACAGGTCATCCAGAAGCCTTGATGTTCAAGTGTGCACTCAAGGGAGCCCATGGGTGGAGGATGATGGGGTAACTCAGGGGCACTGGGCCAGAAAGGGGCAAGTTACAAGAGCACAGTCCAGCTTTATGATTGGAGTTTGGCCTTGAGGACCACGGAGGGCCAACCTCTTCCTTGTGTGAACCCCCACCCCCTATCTCTTTCAGGGTACCAAGTTATACCCTGTGTGATGTGTTACTGCATCACCTGGGCACACACAGCCACTGTGGAACATAGTGGTTACCATCACGGACTCTGGAGTCAGAGAGATCTGGGCTTAAATCCTGATTCTACCCCTTCAAACTGCGGACCTGGCCTCAGTACTTCAGTGCTTTAGTTTCTCATCTATATGTGTAAAGCCCTCAGCACAGGGCTTGGCATCTAGCAAGTGTCCTTCTATACCTTTATCAGTTGGGTTTTTAAAAAAATTTTTATTTAAATTCAATCTAATTCATATATCCCGTATTAGTCGTTTCAGAGGTAGAATTCAGTGATTCATCAGTTGCATACAACACCCAGTGCTCATTACTTCAAGTGCCCTCCTTAATGCCTGTCACCCATTGTGTTTAAGTCTTAACTCTCCACTAGACTCTAGTGAGAGAAGAACGTATCCCTGTCTCTGCATCCATACAGCAGGGATAACAGGCCCATTCTGTGGGGGTTAGAAACAAAATGTGTGAGGCGCCTAGCACGGGTCTGGCACCTGGCATGCGCTCAGGGACTGGCTGGCCTCCCAGGAGGGGTACCTCAGGGTGCCAGGGCAGGGGCTGAAGCCGGGCTCTCGGCACTGAGCTCTCACCGTTTTCCTGGACCAGACTCTCCAGATGCTTTGCCTTCATCTGCTCCTCTTTTGACCGCTTCATCTCCTTAAAGTACTTGTACAGCTCTGGGGGCAGCTTTTCCCCAGGAAGGCGGGGAGGCAGCAGCAGGGTGTTGTAGGGATCGTAGCCCTTCAACGTTCTCAAGATCTGCAAGAGGAGGACGGCCACTGCTGTTGGCTGCCTGGAAGCTTCCTCCTGACAGCCCTCAGAGGGTCTGCTGACCACCTCGTAAGACCTTGACTCCTGCCTGAGGCTGGGGTGTCGACAATGGGCCTTTGGAGAGGTGTAAAAAGTCAGGCTGGGCCATGAATCTGGGGATATAGGATCTTGATTTTTGCCCCATTTGAGCCTGGGCGTTTCACATGTGGAAGAGAATTTTCCTCTTGTTTTACAAATAACATACACTGTTTTCCTTTTGTTTTGTTTTTCTGTTTGTTTGTTTTTCCATTGACAAAAGTACCATTATCCACTTTGAGTGACACGTTCTTGAAAAATCCTGTGGTGAGCAATGTTATACAAGGAAGGTGGTTGTCTCATAGAGGATCTAGGGAAAAACTGGTAAAATGGTATTAAGTATGCATGTGCATGAATGTGTGGGGGAGCTTTGGGG